TCATATTCTGTGATATGATTTACTCTGAGGTGTTTGACAAGGTTAGTGATGTTGCCGCAACCATACATGTCAACCTTGCTGATTTTTCCGGGAGAATCCCGAATTTCAGTGCCCCCCCAAATTGAAAAACCATATGGCAGAATTCTGAGCCGACCAACACATCGTCTTCAAACCCCCGCGGTCTTTCACTACTCGGGTTAAAAATTATATACAAGTCACTTTGATAACTTAAAAATGTTATTGTTTGGCTTTTTCAGTGTTTTATTTGTTCCTGAGTAAATCGGTTTAGCTGAGATTAAAATTATTACATTAGATTACATTAAATTTAACTTTATTAATCCTTCGAGTGGGTTCCTCTGGTGTTTTCACACAGCTGAATATGTCAAACAGAAAATGATTAAACAGAAGAGTGAGGCGGTCGAGAATTTACGTCAGTGCCCGGTTATATTTTAGATAGCAAGGAGCAGACGGCAGAGTTTCACTCCACCGAGGGAGCTCGTGACGTACTACCTGGCTTTCTTTGGACCGCGAAGGGCGGGTCCTCAGGTGGAAGCAGCCTCTGAATTTGGACACCCCCGCTGTTTCTGGGACGACCAATAATAATGCCTTTTGAATGTCTCCCTATTATGTCCACAACACCTCACTCTTGGAGCACTTTTTTCCCACATGTATTGCAAACCATGTCTCAGCTGTTTTTGGAGGTAAAATAAGTTCGCGCATGACTCCAGTTACGCTCAGCCATTGTTGTGAGTGCACGCCAAGGGGCTGCTAGACTTTTATACAGCCGTATTTCGTACATGACTATGAAAGGCGGAAGAGGAAGTAGTTCCTTTGAATGTAGACAATCCGAATGTTATAGTTTCTTTCCACTGTGTTGCTGTTAATGATAAACTACAAATTTACTCCAAATTACTAAAATATCGATATTTTAATGTGAGGAGACTCGTGAAAATTTGATAAATTTTAAATGACTGTGATTTGTGAACTGTGATTATAACTGTGAATCCAAACACCAGGTACTTGGAGCTGCTGCGTGGCACATACGAGTCTGACGTTGGTGGAATAGTATTGACAGCTGAGATAATGTACAGGATATACAGGGGGAAACTGTGGGTGTTTTAGCAAAGAAACGGATGCGCTGTGGCTCCAATTGCTCAGTGTAGCTCTCTCGTAAACCTATTTTACAAACTCTGGTTTAGACTCTGATCCTACCTACATTCTGCAAATCTCAGGTGGGTTATGTTTGTATACTGTTTGTATATTCTTTATGTCTTTGTGCTGTGTGCCATTTTGCTCTTGTGAAGATAGCTCTTATTTGTTCAATTTTTCAGGTACTTTCATTTTCACTTATAAATGCTGTATAAGGCAAAAATAATCCTCTATTTTGACGAGCTCACGCAAGATACTTAACTATAAAAAATATTTCTAAACTCTCTATTAACACACTCACATACAATGAGCTCATAGCTTAGTCATTATATATGTAAATTTGTATCTAATTACTTTGTTAATCACATATTTTGACTTCAGAAATTATACCATGAATATTTTATGTATGAGCCTTCTAATTAATACATTTCTATCTGTATTTACAAATTATATACTAAGAAAGAGTAACGCTTTATAAGAAAGGAATTAAGGAAAGGAAGGAATTAAGTACTGACTAATAGCTTAACAATGTGAATAAGTGTTATTCTTTATTGATGGGTGTTAACACTGAAATGGCAACAAACAATAACAACTGATGGCTTACATTAGATTTTTTAAGGCAATTGGTCCCATTGTAAAAAGAAGGAGGAGTGATTTTTGCTCACCCAGCTCATTGGCTTCATCTCTGATGTCCTGTATTGCTTCCGCAGTGGCATCATTCATCAGAGATGCAGTGTTGGCATCAACAACACAAACCAAAACGTGCACTTTGTCGTTCTCAGTTGGAGTTCTGTTGTAGTATCTATCGCCTTTTGACAGTTTATTTTCAGGGTTGAACTAAAAGATAAAGCGTAAACATAAAACAAATAATGTAAAATGATGAATTACCAAAAAATTACCAAAAATAATATGAAAATCTTTTCTTTTAACTGAACATCAGAATTTTAAAAATGCAGTAACTCTACCACGTAACCATCCTTTATGTGGCCCTTCAGTGCCTGTTTGACATCTTTCACATGAATCCTTCTGTTTCTTCTGCTGGTTGTGTCTTTCAACCCCATCATGTCATTTAGGACAAAAGGGTAAAAGGCATTTCCCTTTTTGATCTTGTAGGTTGTATACTGTGGATCACATATGGAGAATACATTTATTTATTTTAACATTCAAACACTCTCAGAAACAGGTCCCATAATGATTATAAATTCAGAAGAAATTTACAATCTACTGAGCTCTTGTTATTTTTATAACTTGTTGCCACCACAGCATCACCACTGGGTTAGTGGAATTCCATACCGAAACTTCAAGGTGAAGACTTTTTAAGTTATTATTTTGGCCTTTTGAAACCAGAAGTGGTGAGCAAGGGGCGAATCTGATAGAGAAACTAAAGTGCCACTACTACTAGAAAGCGGCATTGGTACCACGAGCTGGTTAGGCAGGAGGGGCTAACAAAATTAGACAACAATAGCTATTGTATCTAGTAATAGCTAGTGCTAATTAGCACTAACTATTTCCAGGTTAGCTCATTGACGCTACTGATAGGATAGGAACATGGTGCATTCATTTATCCAATTCCAGTTCTCACCACAAGTTAACTTGGCATACATGACAGTAAAAGATAGATAATAGCCTTCACCAACTTGCACATTCATGGATAAAGCCAGATCACTGCTCTGCCTACAAGTTATTTAGTGAGTGTTAAGGTTCAGATATTGAGGAAGGAGAGTACAAACACGCTCCAGAAGCTCTTGGTCAAACAATGATTTTAATGACTACACGCGTGGAAGAACAGGAATTGATCTTCAACTTAATCAAAGCATACACAGATTTTTATAGCATCATGGTTTGAATTAATGACGCCCCTTCATACGTCACAGACAGATTAGAATAGGTTCCAGACATTAGTCACAGTTTACTCGTACATCGTGTACATCTTTTAATAGCTATAAGCAGACATAGAACTTCTCTTTTCTATAACACCTTCCATACAAGGTAATAATCTTAAGCCCTCAGGGTCTCTGAGGCTAATTATTGACTCTGATCATCTGTTACCAAGTAGAATAAAATGCAACAGGTTTGCAACAAGAAGCTAGAAACATTGGGGCCTCTGCTCAGGCCTACTCCTAGATTATATGTATTATATGTACTGTAAGCATGCATTGCAGTTATCCTTCTATGTTCTAGTTTCCCTCAGCATGGATCATCTGGACACCCTCACCAGTGAAGCTTAAAACCTTCTAGAATAGAACATCAACTCAAAATAAGCACAGATATGTATATATATGTATGTATAAAATAGTTATAACTGCATCTGGAATACAAGGTTAATATAATAACTGTATGCATAACATCTTAAGGCCTTCTCAAAGCTATCTGTTACTCTGTTAAAGCAATGATCAATTTGAATAACCTAGTAATTCAAATAGCCTCGTCTAGCCTGCTGCTCAAAATAACTTAAGACTCTGCTTTCACTTTTGCAAATTCTCTGCAAGCCTATTTCCTGTCAGCCTGTGACTTTTAGCCTTTTCTGAAAGACACACACTGTTAAACCTCTGAATGCAATATCAGTGCTACATGATGATAATTATTTAACAATAGCAGTAAAATAATTTCCCTGCTCCACATGAGTCACATATTAACTGTTACTGGCATAGTTGTACTCTGTCCATACCTTTTTGGTGGAACAGTCACGTGAGTTAGTCACCAAAGCCTCGCAACATGCTCTCTTTTGTAAGACGCTGTTTACAGAATTGATGAAACTAGATTTTCCAGCTCCAACTGGACCATGAAGAAGGATCCTAAGATTTTGTTCTTCAACCTCAGGTTTGTAGTTCTCCACAAAATTCTGATCAGTTGGGTTCTCTCTGCTTAGGAAAGGAAATATTACATTATCTCACACCTTACATGGAAAAAATGAATAGACATAGAAAATCTGGGTAGTTTACTGACTAAACAGAGGAAATAATTCAAATGTATTTTTTTTCTGTGAGCTTCACTCACCCATAGTTAATTTGCCTCCATGGGTTTTCAAGAACTGACAAGAAACAATTTAATGAGAAAATAACATCAATGTATAGTGCATTTTTTTATTGGATGACAATTCGTATCATTATAGCTTTTGAATAAACTTACGTTGAGGTGGAGCAACTGGTTTTGAAGAAAAAAAACCCATAACTGAAACATGAAGTATTTATTCTATTTAATTCAAAGTTTACAGAAACAATTTCATTTTGGCTTTGGATTAAAATGAGCCTACCTTTGCTGGACAAAGCCTGCCGCCCAATGCCAGAATGTGAACCTATCTACAATTTTAAAGTCTTCCAAATCTGTTTTTACTTTCATTTTAAAAGAACATGTGACTTCTGAGAATTCCCCTTGATCACAGTTTACTTTCATTTTCATCTTGTTTATAGATAACATCAAAACAGCAACATACTGATGTTTCCACTCTCACGTTTACTGAAAATATTTAATCTTACAGCCTGACAGTGTGTTGTGTCTTAGTGATTTCTGGAAAATAATACAATTTTAACTGTGGGTTTTCATTTGGTTGAGTTTGATATACTTCCATCATATAAAGTCATGTATACCCACAAGGGGTTCTGCAAATTATTAGTTTTTTATCTTATAAGTAACATTTTTTATATAGTACTTTGTAGATAAAAGATCACAAAATGCTTCTCACAAGGATAACAAAGCATAATTACTTTGCTAATAGTTGAGCTTGTCATGGGCGACTAGGCTTATTCAGGGTTAGGATTTAAATGCAGACATAGACAGAACAACCATTCAAACTTTAAAATGTTCTGAAAGTATTGGGCTATTCATGTACAATTCAGATTTTTCATTTTTCATATCTGTTACCATTTTCATCCTATCCCTCTTTAAGTTTTCAGTTTCATCTTTGTGATTTTTTAGATACAAATACATGCATTGTTATGGTTGCTATGCACTTGGCTTTGAGTGGGCCTTTCGCAATATTCTCTTCATGTCCGAACAACTTCTTGTACATTAATTTACATTAAATTACATCAAAAGAAGCAGATCTTCCAGATAGTTTGTATCTGCAATAAAACATTACAGCCCCCCACCTAGAACCTCGAGAATCTGGGGTGAAGGACAGTGGAATTTCTTTCATCGTAGTCAAAGGAGCTTGCAAAGAAAAGCGTCTGGACTTCTTTAAGTTACTTGAAGACGTTTCACCTCTCATCCGAGAAGCTTCTTCAGTTCTAAGGTCAAATGGTGGAGAGTCCCAGATATAAACCTAGTGGGAGTAACCCCCCACAGAGGGACAAGAGGACCCCCTGATGATCCTCTAATCGCCTGAGCCAAGGTGTGAAACTGGGTGTGGGTCCCAATCAGCCAGAGTTTCGGGTGAGTTCATTGTGAAACCTGGCCCCAACTTATCACATAAAACCAGATTTCACAAAGTGCTGTACATGCTAATAGCATAAGTAAAGAAAATTAAAATGAGATAAGATTTTAAACAAAAAAAAATAAAAATTGAGTCTCCACCTTAAATGTAAATGTAAGACAGCAAGAGGCCAGAGGATGCAGTGTGGGGGTTTGTTCAATGTTTGTAATATTTTAACTCTGTTTTCTATGTTCTGTAGCTTGGGTGAGGAGATTACTTTTACGAACGGCAGGAAGTCACATACACAGAGACACACACACAGTGCTTTGACTGTTACGACACAACCACACCTACATGCACACTCACTCACATGCACACACATACACAACACAAACTTGGGTTTGCTTGTCGTGTTTATTATCCCTACCTGTGTCTTCCCTCTCTGCTCTGCTTGGGCCTGTTTGAGTTTTGTGTTGTTAAACAGTCTGTGTGTTTACTGTTTTACTTTCTAGGTCTGTATTTTATTTTCTGTAATGTGAGAACAAGGTCCAAGAAAAGGGCAAGTTCTAAAGTATAAATAAGAATATAAGGTTTCAAGTAATTAATGTTAAGTAATGTTTTGACTTTGATGTACTTAGTGTATTTGTTTTCTAATATTGTCACTAATAAAAGATCAATAAAGTTGTTTAAAATTAAGTGGAACTGCTGCCAGCATTTGAATCAATCAGTGTGCCTCTGTGGACTGTCTCTGGCACCAAAGTTTCCACCCAAAGTCCACAGTTAAAAATTTCCATCAGTACATGCACCATTCTCACAACTGCTCCCGTCAGTCAACTCTCTGGGTTTGTTAACCCTCCTGCTATGTTGCGGGTCAGATTGACCCACAACAGAAGAGATGTCATCTGCATCACTACAGAAAATGAAAAAAAAAAATCAAAGTTATATAAGAAAATTGTAAAATAATATAAAAAAATTGTAAAATAATCAATGTTTCTGACACTTTTGGATAAGTAAATTTGCCCCGGGTCAAATTAACCCAGGAGCATAATTGGTGTTCCTGGAAACCAACATAACAGGTTAAATAGTAAAAGAGCAGAACAAACGTTAGAACAAAAATCATTCAGAACTGAATTCAATTCAATTCAATTTTATTTATATATCGCCAAATCACAACAAAAGTCGCCTTCAAGGTGCTTTAGATTATACAATAGATTATACATCTGAAGAGCCCGTTTTATTCAGAAATCCTGTGGTGAAGCTTGAGAGTCTCTTCTATCATCTTTCGCAGTAAGAAGCTGTGAAAGGGAAAAAAGTACTTATTTATATTTAATAAGATCAGGCGCCACGTTTCACTCAGTCTTTATTTGCAGCATGTTTTAAGTAGTGATATGATGGGCAATATGTGTTTTAAATGAGCAGCCTGCTATACTGAAATCACTGAATGAAAACAGCTGCATTGTCTCGGGAACATGAATATATGAATATGAACATAAATCTGGTGATTTATTAAATATATACATTTAATTATACTTGATTCTAATGTGCTGCTCTTAAGCTGATGGAAATGCAGATAACACAGAACACACAGGAATGAATGAATGAATTTGCAATGAAGGAAAGGCAATACAGGAGAAATCTGAAATGAAACCCAAGCTAATTTGTTTCCATAATTATGGGCTGTGACAGGCGTTAGCAAACTGCAGCTTTCAGTTTGTGCATTTTGCCCTGCAATTTAATATTCAGCAGCACGATGGGATATTTGTGAACATTCCCATGAAAACACTTGACCTCCACCCTCTCTGCCTCCAACTATGCCCCCGGTTGAACCAGGCTTTGGTGGACCAGGGTCTGCGTGCAGCCCGTCATGCAGCTTCCAGGCTCACATGAACGGCCAACCCTCCGCTCTCACCCTGCTGCCCTGGAATCACTGGCGATGGTCTTCTGCAGAGAGCAGCAAGCAGTCCAGGATGGCTCGAGAGACGTTCCCTCGAAGTTCCCCCATGCGGCTAGCAGCAGGCTCAGGACGACTGTCCGAGCCTCCCCAGCAGCAGCTGCAACACTCATTCTGCTGTGGCCACTGGCATGCCTCCGCTGCAGGACTGTCACCCTCCCCCATCTGGTGCATCGTCACCACCAGCAGACGAGGGGGCGGCAGTGCAGTGACCCTAACCAGCCTCTCCAGCGCTCAGCCTGCTCCTGCCGTCTCTACATTGTTCCCTCTGTGTCGCTACTTGCTCACTATGGATGGCTGCCAATCCTGCTAGCATCTGCGCCAGTAGATAAACCAGCTGCGCGGGCCAATTGTCACGCATGACAAGCCTGGGTTTTGGCACCACTGTGAACCCAAGTCAGGACTTGCGACACTCCATGTGCTTTCAGTGAGCTTTAATTTGCAAGAACAGAGTTTGGGTTTTCACGTCCCACGTTTCCAGTCTATGACCTGCCTGCTTCCAACTGTCTCCATGACACCGATCTGTGTTAGTTCCCCTGGTCTCTCTGTCAGCCATGTCTTCTTGTTTATTAACCTTTTTGTCTTTTTCAAGTTTGTGTGTCTCAGTGTTCATGCTTCCTGTTTTATTTTGGTGGTGGAGAGCATAGGAGAGCACAGCTGGGCAAAATCACACACAACGAAACTGTGGGAAGCAAAACATTATAGAGCAAGAGAGGATTTTTGTCATCATGCTCAGGACGGCTTCAGGCGGTAGCTGAGTCCTGTAAGGACACATGAAGCAACAGAGCTGCTGCAGCTCATGCTGATGTCATTTTCTAACATGTCAAAGCTTTTTACAGAGTGCATTTTAAATCTGCTTCAGATTTAAATTTTCTGTGAAAATTAGAAAATCCTAAAAACATCCCAAACGCCATGGTTACTGATGTTTGCGATGAAAAACGAGTACGTATGATTGCTGTCGGTGCTAATGTCTCCATGTGTGTCAGTGCCGTAATCTGATGGATTCTCTTTCTTTTTTAAATGGCTGTGTTGCGCTGAAGTGGAGAAATCCTTTGATTTCAGGTTTATCCATGTGGTATATTCGTGCATTTAACATTTTAACCTATGTAATGCAGCAGCATTACATGGAAAATTTAAATGTAATTACATGAGTCAACCTTTTGGGTAAATGTTTTTCAAGGTAGCTGCGCACACTCTGACAAATGTTTCTACGAGTTACTAAATCACCCAGAATATCCTCGGGGCCATCACAGTGCTAAATATAACAGAACATGGCCTTAGGGATATCCCATCATTGAAAATAATTTAATCTGATGCATTTTAACAGACTGCTGTTAGACCTGCTCAGCCAAGGTGCTGTCATGTTACTCTCACAGTCTGATAAACAATAAAGACCAAAAAAATCAGGCTGTTTCTAGTTTTCCTGGTGAGACTGATGTTTTTCTCTGACCTCTGAGAGACTTCTGTGGTACGGCCCTGGATCTGAGGCTGCACAGTCATCAACATCCTTTAAATCACTGTGTGCATGGCTTTAATCTCAGGTTTCCCTGCAACACTGTGTGATATCAGTTTCTTAAAATTTGGTTGCTTTTTCTTTCTTATAATTTTATCTGGAGGTGACTAGCACACTGGTGCTATTTAAACAAAACTAAAATCCCTTGATTTTGTGCTATTTCTTACTTCTTGTATTGTCTGTCTTTGTTACTGTTTGCACTGGAGCACTGTAGCCCACATAATTTCCCCTAGGGATCAATAAAGTATTCTGACTCTGATTCTAAAGCATCACAGCTTAGTCTGAAAAGAACCTCAGTCTGTCATGTTGAACTACAAACAATGATATCAAATTTATATTTCCACAACCATGTCATGTTGGGAAAACTGCAACTCCTGTGCTGCCATCTGCTGGCAGCAATTATACAGTGCATTCAGCACAAGTCAGTGTGCATCTGATTCACACTGACTCAGCAATCTCTGTGAACCTGGGCTGTGCTGGTAATCTG